GATCTGCGGGTAAACGAGACTCACGGCCGAACATCATTAAAAACGGGGTTTGTCCCGTCGACGTGTGTACGGTGGTGGCGTAGGCGAAAAGGGCGTAGGAGAGGTGTTCGTCCCAATCCCGTTGATTTGCAGCCACCATACGTTTGAGTTTCCCCGCTAGGGTCTGATTCATGCGTTCTACCATACCATTCGCCTGGGGGTGGTACGCTGTGGTTCGGTCCTTCTGGATTCCGAATTCTTGGCACAGTGCCTGGAACAGCTCGGCCTCGAACTCGCTACCCTGGTCGGTGAGGACTCGTTCTGGGATCCCGTGCTTGAGTACGTAATGTTCCACGAATGCCCGGGCCACCACCAAGGCCGTTTTATCAGGGATGGCCACTGCCACGGGGTAGCGGGTGAAATACTCTACTGCGACTAGAATATACCGGTTGCCTCGATGGGATCGTGGGAATGGCCCCTGTAGATCGATCCCGACCAGCTGATTCGTGCGGCTGACGCGGAACGGCCTTAGGGGTACCTGGTATCGTGCCGGTTTCGACCCGCACTGCTGACAGGCGCGGCAGCCCTGTACCCAGGCCGCCACGTCTTGTGCCAATTTGGGCCAGAGATACTGGCGACACAGGGTCTCTCGAGTACGTCGTTCCCCATCGTGGCCCCCGAGTGGGTGGTCATGCACCAGCCGTAGCAGCTGGGGTCGCACCTGGGCAGGAACACAGATGCACCCCGGCTGGCCGGCCTCGGTTAACTCCCGTACAACTCCGTTCTGCACACACAACCGGGCATACAAACCGCTCCAGGGTCCTGGTAGGGCGCTCTTTTCCTCCCGCAGTGCCGCCTCCACTGCCGCCAGATCCGGATCTCGCTGCTGGGTCTGTCTCAGCTGCTCGTCGTTTAGGCCCGGGAAGGCGCAGCCGACGTCCTCCTGGATCCGTCCAATCAGGTCCCGGGCTGCGGGTCCCGCGCTTGCCGGGCGGTCGACGGGATCCTCGGTGCCACCTGTGAGGGTCTCTGTGGCGCACACAGCACTCTCTCTCGCTGAGGGGGGGTCAGTGGCCGCGGCCTCTCGGGGGTCCGTTGCCTGCCGGCAGCGTCCCCCCGTGAAACACGGGCAGGCCTCCTCTGCCCTTGTCTCGGCGTACACCGTGGGCCGCCTCGACAAGGCGTCCACGTTTGCATGCGTCCGGCCAGCCCGATACTCGATTTGCAGGTTGTACTCCTGCAACTGCGCCAACCAACGGGCCATCTGCCCCCGTGGCTCCTTGAATGTAAGAAGGAACTGAAGAGCATAATGGTCAGTGCGTACGCGACATCTCCTGCCGTACAAATACGGCCGGAACTGCTTACATGCGAAAATCACGGCGTACAATTCTTGGCGGGTCACGCAATAGTTCAGCTCGGCCCCACTCAGGGTCCGGCTGGCGTACGCGATGACTCGTTCCGTCCCATCCTGTACCTGTGACAACACCGCGCCCAGCCCGCTGCTGCAGGCGTCGGTGTCCAAAATAAAATCGGTGGTAAAATCGGGGAAAGCGAGGGTGGGGGCGTGGGTGAGGTGGTCTTTGAGAGTGGTGAGGGCCGTCTGGCAGGCCCCCGTCCACTGATAGGGGTGCTTAGGGGAAGTGAGTTGGGTGAGGGGGCGTGCAATCTCGCTGAATCCCTTTACAAATCGACGATAATAGGTGGCGAGCCCCAAAAATGATCTGATCTCAGTCAGATTCCTTGGTCGTGGCCACTCCACTACGGCGCGTACCTTCTCCGGATCGGTGTGCACGCCTGCCTCGCTGACGCGATGCCCGAGGTACCCCACCTCGCGTTGTGCGATGTAACACTTATGTGGCTTGAGCTTGAGATGAGCCGCTCGCAGTCGCTGGAACACCTCTTGAAGCCTGGACCAATGCTCAGACAAAGATCTACTGAACACTATCACATCGTCCAAGTAAATCAGGCACTGTTCCCATTGCAAGCCCCGCATCACCAACTCCATCAGCCGCTGGAATGTCGCAGGCGCATTGGTGAGTCCAAACGGGAGTACTCGAAACTCGAATAGCCCCATCGGGGTGGTGAATGCGGTTTTCGGCCGATCCTCCTCCGCCATCTCCACCTGCCAGTACCCGGACGCGAGATCGAGGGTGGAAAAATATCGCGCTCCGGCGAGGCTGTCGAAGGTGTCGTCGATGCGGGGTATGGGGAAGGCATCGCCGAGCGTGACTGCATTTAGTTTACGGTAATCGACGCAGAACCGGGTTGACCCATCCTTTTTCGTTACTAGTACCACTGGGGCTGACCAGGGGCTCGCCGAGGGCTGAATTATGTTATCGCGAAGCATGTCCCCAACCGCCTCTTTGATCTGGGTGCGTTCGGGTGCGCCCACTCGGTACGCAGGGAGTTTGATGGGTCGGGCTGCACCGGTGTCAATTTGGTGCTTAACAAGGTCGGTCCGACCCACGTCCGAGTCGTGTTCGCTGAACACGTCGGCATACTCCCGCAGTAACTCGCGCAGCCGATCGGCCTCTCCCTTAGGTAAGTCCGCCCATGGTACATGTAACGCGTCGAGCAGGGGAACGACCTCGGCTCGGGGAGTCGGGCCGACTCGCCAGGCCAGGTCCTGCTCACCCTCAGGACGACCGGGGTCCTCAGCCCAGAGTGCGAACACCGAGTCGTTAGAGTGGCGTGCGTGCAGGGGGTGTACTGTGGCTATCGGGGTGCGCCGTCGCAGTATCGCTGGGGTATTGTGGGGGTTAAACATCCGCATAAACAATCGGTCCCCATCTGCGTTTACCAACGTGGCGGATCCCACAACCCCATACCGTTTTGCCAACTCCGGGTGAGGAGTTAGCATTACCTCCCCTGATGGTCGGAGCGCGGGGTCGGTGGGGGATGTTGCCACCGGCACCAGCATCTCGGTGAGCGGGCCGATGGCGACTGCCGTCGCCAGGATAGCGGCCACAGGTGCAAAGCGGTGGCGCGTTGGTTCTCGTCCCAGGAACGGTATCCGCTCGCCGTTGCTCTCCATGGTGGCGCATCGCTGGCGGGGTTGCACATTGAGTCCCAACCGTTCTAGGAGGTCGGTGCCTGCGATACACTCGTGACACAACGCACTCGACACGTAGAACTCCTGCGTGCACACCTGGCTGCCTATGCGGACCTCTAGGGTGGCTCTCCCCAGCAGCCCCATTCCGGCTCCGCTCGCAGTGTGCAGCGCGCGGTCCGGGGCCTGCAGGTGACGCACGTCGACCCCGATCGCGCTGCAGTGCGCTGCGCTCACGAGCGAGGCCACCGCCCCCGTGTCCAGCAGGATTTGGGTACGCACTCCGTTTACCTCCCCTTCCACCAGCGACGTGGCCCCCATGATCCCCGCCACCAGCTCCCGCAGCCAGTCGCCAGGAGTCACCGTTTCTGTGGGCGTTGTTGCTGGAACCTGTGTGGAGATCACTCGCTCGCCATTATTCTCACACCTTGTTTGTGTCGGGGCTACGTCGATTTCACCCCCCGGTGGTCCCCTCTCTAAGGGGGCCTTAGTGTTTGACCTTAGCTCTTGTCTAGCTCGGGCGACCTGAGGACAGTCCCTCACTAGATGCCCTCGGCGATCGCACATATAACATGCCCGGGGAGGGGTGGCGGCTCCGTAGTGGGCTCTCT